CTGGGGGTTTAAAGGTGTGTACTACCACTCGGCGGGATCTGGGTTCGATACCTGGTCCGAACAACCCCTAAACTATAAAAAATTTCTGTTATATTTATTAGCTTTAATAGATTTCAATATTTGCTATTCATTTCAAAGTGTCTAACATTCACTCCTAAAAGTCACTGGGAAAATTTTTTAATTAAATTTGGAAAATTATAAAAAAATTATCAAAAATATTTTTTTTTTAATTCGGCTTAAAAACTGTAATGAAAACCAGTTCAGGGTTTCCTTTAAAATTTTCAATTTAAAAACATTTTCAATAAGAAATATTTTTTCTTCGGTTTTGATGTCTATTTTCGTAGTTAAGAAATTAAAATCGAATTAAAAATAAAAAAATAAAATATTTTCAGTTTCTTACAAAAGGTTCAGGCAAATTGCGTTTAAAATTAGGTACAATAATTTTTATTTTTAAAATTTGAAAAATAGTTTATTTTTGGTACACTTACAATAATACAAAATTGATAGCAAAAAATTCCAAATTTCAAAGTTATTACCGTTAAAGCGGCTGTAGCGCCTAAAAGCAGGCTACGTTTTATAACTTTGGATTTTATTAAAAGAAAAACCAACGGGGGATCTAATATAAGAATCAAATATAAGTAACTTGAAGGATTTAAGACCTCTGAAAAGGAAGAGAAGAATAAATAAATGTAGTAAAAAGGCTTCTGTGGCGCCTATAAGTAGACCAACTTTTCTTTAATTTTCATTTACTGTAAAGCAAGAAACAGTCAGTATAATGCTATGACATTTGGCTAGTGAATATATATTTAAAAGTCTTGAAAAATAAAATAAGGTCTCTTAAATTCTAGTTTTTTCTAGAAAGTTGTTATGAAAATTTTTATTTTCACGTTTTTTTTTTAATTTACAACATTATAGCACTATTAGAACTAGCAGCTAATTCGAAGAGCATGCGTTGAGCTGACTTCTCAGTACAAATTTGTGTGCCTACGCCGAAAATTGGCAAAGTTATGGCAACCGCACGCTGCTTAGCGCCTGTGTGTAGGCTACACTAAATCACAGTAACTACGTCAAATCACATTTTTCAATACACAACAGATTTAATAAGTGACTAAGCAGGCAAATAACTGCAGTAAAAGTGCCGAATCAAAGCAAAAACAATAAATAAATACCAACAACAACAACATTGGCTATGCATGAAAATACTTATGCAGGCGGACAGAAAGGCGGAGTAGTAAATTCAGCGAACAAAAATTTAATAAATTGTTAACAATGATGTGCACGTGATGTGTGTGAAAACGTTGGCAGCTGCAACAGTAACAACAACAACAACACCAACAACAAGTGCAACTATAAACCAATTATTTGTTGACAGAAAAATTGCTAAACTAACAATTGCACCGAGAATAAATGCAATGTGCGTGCGGGTGCAAAAAGTAGGCAGCTGTCATATATAATGTCAGCAACAACAACAACAACAACAACAACAGCAACAAAACGTTGCAACAAAAGTGGCAGCATCAATAATTTCCAATTGACATGTTAGATAAATTATTTACGGCAAATTGACACAAAAACGAATGCATGACAACAACAACTACGACAACAATAATCAGCAACAAAACAACCACAATGATTGCTAGTTTCAAGCAAATTGTCGGTTGCTAGACGTCGAAGCGGTCAATGGTCGAACGAACGGTCGACCGATTGTTGGTTGGTCGGTAGGCATCATTTTTAACACTCCAAGTGCGATACGGCAGCAGCGGCAACAACAATAACAATAACAATTTACAATCAGTCAACAACAATAAAAGTCAACATTGGTCATAAAATATAGTATGTAGGTTTGTGTTGGTAATTGCATGTGATTTAATTTGTTGCAATTGCAGCAACAACAACAACAACATCAAGCAAGTGCAACAACAACCATTTTTATTAGTATATACACCTATTGTTAACTAGCCGGTGGCTGACAGCGACTAATGATGTTGTCGATTGCCTGATAACAACACACACACACACACACGCGCGCACACGCATACCAATGCAGCCGAACAGCTATGCACGCTTTTGCACATAACTTCATGTCAAATCAAATAAATCAAGTGATAAGTTGTTGATTTGCTGTTTGTAGTTTGTTGGCCGTTGCTTGCTGCTCGGTCGGCTGTTTTGTGGTGTTGCATGCGGCAGGTGTTTAACTTGCTGTTGTTGTTGTTGTTGCTCTTATTGTCAATTGCTGATACATTATTAGTAGTCGCTAACTATTGGCACATTATTATTGTTGTTAAGCTTGTTTAGCGTAGATATTTTTCTAATTTTTTTTTCAAATTTTTGTATTGATTTTTTTTTCAGCGGCATGCCAAAGCATTTTGCACTATAATTTTCCACTGCAAATTTATTTCGATTGAAATTGCATATTGTTCTATGTGCAATCAACGCCTCTTCACGCCATTGAAATTTATTTTTCCTCCAGCAAATTACAAAAAAAAAAACTTAAAAATTTTAACTAGGCATCGGAAATCAGAAATATGATCAGCTTAGTCAATACCCTTTGGAAAATTTGTATATTAATTTTGGAGTTTTATAAGTGTGTTTCCTTTCCGTGAGCCTTCAAACATACATGCAAAAGTTTGATCTTAAATCTCGTATGCCCGACAATGCCTATGAGGACCTATGACCTTTTCAAGCAAGCGGCAATCTAAAAAGGGGTTAACTGAATATGTGAAATCTTTATAGCTGCGCTACAAATTTAGTATCTCATTAGAATCTATATATTAATACGCTTACATAAATTTTGTCCGCCTTCGTTTAGCGGTTCTACGGGACGGATTTTAGAACCAAGAACACCATTGGAAAGGTATCCGTAGATGAGGAAAGTTTTTATGGTTTCCAAATTAGGTTGAAAATTACGGCCAAAATCGTCGTTTAAAAATTTCTCTAGTTGCATATATGTAGTTGTTGTTGCATCGAAATATATCCAGCCATTAGAAATTTAGTTAACGAAATATATCGAATCAACCATGTTTAAGTTATCGGAATGCATAGGGTTATTGAAAATGATCAATGTTTATTGAATTATTGAGTTGCCAAAATGTACTGAAAGTTATCGGGTTATAAAAATTTATTATCGAAATTTATCAAGTTACACAAATTTTATTTTAAATGATATTTATGGAAAATCCATATTTATCAGGTGATCGAAATTAATAGAGTTATCGAAGTTTATCAAGTTAACGAAATTAATCGAGTTGTCGTGATGTATCGAGCCCTCTTAAATTATCGAATTATTGATATTGAATGATTTATCGACATTTTTTGTTAGTTATCGCAATTTGTCGGGTTTTAGAATCGAAGTTATTGACATCTTCAAATATCGAAATTTTTTGAAATACATACATGAATTTATCGAGCCATCACTGTTTATCAATTTTTCGAATTTTATCGAGTTACCATAGAGCATTAAGCTATCGAAAATTTTCGATAGCTATGGAAATTGTTTGAGTCATCAACACCGCGTTATCGATATATATTGATATATGTAAATTTTTGAGTTATCGAAATTTATCCAGGTCTAGAAACTCACAATTTTCTAAATTTATCGATGGTTATGGAAATTTATAGAGTTAATGTTTTTGAAATTCATTGAGCTATCAATACGCACCAAACTGTCGTAATTTATCGATTTACTGAAATGTATCGAGTGATCCTAATTCATAGTTTTTCAAATTTTTTGAGTTATTGAGAATTATCGAGATACATAGTGCCCCATGGTTCCCGTGTCGCCCTAATTAAAAATTGTGTTAAACCTGGGTCTGAATTATGGGCCATCGTTTGACTTTGACGCGTAATATTAGAGCACATGAAATCGAACGTGTAGGGCTTTGATTTTATCGAATCTGTGAAAGTTTTAAGGGCCAAAGGTAGTATAAGGGCGGTTTTCTCAAGTGCCTTTTACAATTTATCTGCCTTTGAAGCACAAATGTAGTTCTGAAAAAATTATTTAAAGGGTAGATAAATTTTAAAGGCCACTTGAGAAAACGGTCCTAAGTATATTACAACATATTTAGATTTTTTTGTTTTTTGTTTGTTTGTTTGAGCTAGTGCAAATCAATCAACATGTCGCCAGAACCACAAAAAGCGTTCGTCTTCGTCTTATCCTCCTCAAGGCAGGAAAGGCAAATGAGGTTGTCATGCATGACTATCACAGTCAGGTCATATCTGCGACGAGAAGTGTCCAGTCAATAGTCCCTACCTAGTAAGACCCTCTGAGATGTGGTGCAAAATCAGTTTTTGCCCATCGAAACAACCTAGTCAGTTTCTAACGGTGGCTTTGATGACCAAAAGTAAGAGTTCTATAACTAATTGCGGACCAGAGGTTACCTAGTCTGAGCCTTTTATAGCAAAATAGTCAGATGTCTCATAACCAGGTGCTTCCGTGTGACCTGACACCCAGTCTAAATTAAGTTCGTTATGTTTTCCAACAAACTTTAGTCGAGGCTTATATTGCCGACCTATTTTGGAAGTAGTTAGACGGCTGGCCAATGTCTTGAGTGCAGCTTGGTTGTCATTACAGACGTGTAAACTCCTGATTATGCGACTATTTTTCACGCGTAGTCCATGGGCTTTAGGATTGCAGATACCGAGAGAGAAGCGAGGATTGTCTAGTTATTTTTGATACATATTTATATACTCCGGATCTGGAGACTGCGTCAGTTTAGGAGCCCTTAGTAAAGATTCTATCATGTATAAGCCCAGGCTCAGTATTTTAATCCCAAGCACTCAACATTGTATTAGCTCTGCAGCAAAGTTTACTGATAGACAAATGTAGAACTTTTTGAAAATTTATTTTTTAATTTGCTTTCTTTCTTGAAACATCAATTCGCAACGCCTATAAACCGTGAGAGTACAAAATTTAATTATATAGATATTTAAAAGCTTTGATTATATCTACTACTTATGCGAATAAGTATGTATTTAAAAAAAATAATAATTGTTAAACAAACCCTTTCTTTATATACAATAGACGCTCGTTGAGAATCAGCAGTTTTATACAAGTTTTGCTTCGTTTTTCTTGTGTCTCATTTTTGGCACTTTATATGTAATTATTGGTTTTATGTTGTTGTTTTTGCACACTGTTTAAAGCACTTCATTATTTAATTTCTTCTTTATGCATACGTATATTCGGTTTAATTTATTTCCATTTATTCATACAATTAACTTAATTGTTGGAAACTTTTCATAAGTTGAGTATATCGCACTAAATAAGCTCTCTCTGTATTTAAGGATTTCTAGTTGTTAGCGCACTTGCAGAGTTCTTAATGTATATCTGCGGTTGTATATTTGAGTTTCAGCATAGTTTGAAATTTTTTTATATAAGCCATTAGCCTAAATTTAAACCTTTTTCATTTGCTCTCAAATCTGGGGTTTAACTTTAATTTCCTGCGCTGTAGCCCATAGCTTCACCTCTCACATCAGTTAAGAAACCTTAAAGCAAAATTTGTGATAGTTAGGAAAAACTATCGAGCTCTTCGTGTCTTTCGAGTCTTTTGTGTGCAGTGGTTGCGAAATAGATACACAGTAGTGAATTGTTTATGACATGCTAGATATTGGTTTTAACAATTGCTTATAGAATCAGCTGGCTCTAAGATCGATTACTGCTCTAGTTTTAGTACAATTCCCTAACGTCGTATAAACCCCAAAAGTATTTAGTATTTCTGCTACAAAGAAGTACATAGTTCCTTTAAATAACTCGCTGCTCCAATACCGCAGACCATCTAGGACTCATTCATAGGAAGCATAACATAAAACCTATAGAAAGCTTAAAAAACTAAGCTCTCTCCAATCGACACTGATGTAAAGAGAGATGCCCCCTTCTCCACGTATCTTAATGGCTTTGTTGAAGTTCATACTGGCTACTGCGTGGCCCGTGGCCCTATTGCAGGTTGTCTTATTCTCGAAATTTCTACTTCCCTGAGTCTTGCTGATGATTTGGAGTTCAGTTCAGACAAAATTAAATACTGTTTCGGAAATTATTATGCTTAAGGCTAGATCTTTTCAATTTTTTTTTTTCTTAAAAAATATTTTATACGAGAATACTTATAAAAAAATTAAAAAATTTTTTAATTTGAAAGGTTTTAAGTGATCTTTAAAACAATGCTACCCTTTCCGGAAACAAACCTTCAAAATTTTAAGATTTAAAATTCCTTATTTGTGGGCATGTATGTATGTACTATACTAGACCAAACCTTTCCAGAAAACAAAAAAAGTAATTTTGCAAGACAATTTCGAAAAAAATTTCGAACCATGGTCAACTCCAATAAAGAAGAAGAATATGTTCCCCTTTTAAATTTTTCGGTGACACCTATATTCAGCAATAAATAAATTCCTGAAAATAGTTCTACTTGATGAATTTTGGTGAGATTTAATCTACAAGCATTAGGATGGTACGTTAGGGTGAAAAGAGCTGGAATCTGATGGGTAAGCACTAGATCTGGGTACTTGAGGTCAATGAATTTTGACAAAAAAATGTTCTCCTCGAGATGTCGAACATCGATATATCATGCTTTAAGATACGACTGTAAATGCCATATGACGATTTGGCAAAAAAAAAGAATTCGCCAAAGTTTTTTTTTTTGAACAGTCTATTGTGCATATGTGTATGCAACCAAAAAAACTGAACTTGTATATGAAAAAGACATTTTATATAAAAACTTACTCAATATTTATTTTTTATATACATATGTACATATGTATGTAGCCCAAAAAGTTTTTTAAAAATTTCTGAACTTTTTGTTTTTGTTTTTACGGGTTGCAAAATAAATTATTGAACTAATATAAATTAAGGTATGAGTTTTGGAATTCGCCAAAAAATGTTTATTTGTTAACTTTAAAAGAAAAAATAGAAATTGAAATTGATTCCCAAGTTTTTTCTACAGTTACAGTCCAAATATTAGAAGCTTTAAAATTTTGAAATTTAAAAAACTGAATTAAATTTTTATTTTGCGTTTTTACGGATGCGAAAGTAAATTATTGAACTAATATAAATTAAGGTATGAGTTTTGGAATCCGAAACGATTTCGCAAAAAAAAACATTTAAAATTTTTGACTTTAACAGAAAAAACTTAAAATTTTAAATTGATTCTCAAGTCTTTCTACAGTTACTGTCAATATATTAGCAGCTTTAAAATTTTTAAACTTAAAAAAGTATAACAAAAATTCTTGTTTTTTTACAAAAACCTTACGAAAATACTGCATTAATATTTTTTTGTTATTTAAAAAGCAACGTGAAATTATTTTGAATTTGCCAAATAAAACGTCCAGTTAGGATTTCTGCAATTTTACAATATTGGAAATTTAGAGAAAATTACAAATTTTGTGTTTCTAAGAAAACCTAATTAAGCAATTTTGTATATATGTATATTTGTTTTACCTTTTTGGTCTATTAAAGCCAAATCACACGATTTGTACATTTTGCCAATCACAGAGTGGAGTTGTCTAGAAATTTTTATCGAGCATGAGTTCAGCTCTATAAAAAAATGCCAAATAACACCACTCTGCAGCTGTACATATACACCAATCGTGTGATTTGGCCTTTATTCTAACAGCAAAAAGCAAAAAAAATATGTATCTATTTATAATATTTCAAAATTTTGAGATGTTTTGAAATCCTCTATTATTTTGCCAAATAAAATTTCTTCTTAAGATTTCAACCAATTAGAATTTTTTAACTTTGAATAAATAAAATTAAACTTTTTTGTGGTTTTAAGAAAATCTTCTCTAAAAATTTCGAAAAAAATTATTAATTTTTTATCCATTCTTTTAAACTATGTATAAAGCTTTAAAATCTTAATATTTGAAAATTTTCCATTTTTTAGTTGATTTCGTGGCTGCAGGAACTACCTACAACCAAAATTCACTGACTTTTATATTTAATTTCGCTTTCTGTTTACTTTTTACTGGTTTTAGTTGATCAATTGTTTTGTTTTTGTCATTGACATAGCAGATATATTTTTTAATTCCTTTTTTGAATACAACACTGAAGTTTTTTAAACCCCTTTTGATTTTTTAATCTTTTTATAAAAAAAAAATACTTTGCCTTTACCCTTGTTAATAAATATTATCTTTTTATTGCAGACTACAAACTCAGTCACCGATTATTGCTTCCAAGCTTTACAACCACAGTTTCCGCCAAGTTTTCCACTAAAAAATTAGAGCGGAATTTGAAAATCTTGTTTCTGTCAGGCATTTTTCGCTACGTTCCAATAAACACGCGACTCACTTCAAAAGTCGAAGCATTCACATCAAATCCGTGCAAAAAAATTTTAATTCACTTCAATTGACGCGTTTTCACACAAATCACATGTGCATGGCTGCACAACATGTACCATTTTCAAAAACAAAAACATAAAACGAAAATCTCATTACAAATTCGCACTAATTTCACACGAAATTTTCCATATTAGCCTCTGAACAATTCAGGCATTTTTTCGTAAATTTTTCATCAAAATCTCCTTGTTCGAATTCCCAATTGGCGACGGCAAACAGACACCACACAAAACAACACAAAATCCCGTTCGCGACGTTCAGCCGACGCGTCGCAACGAAAGCGAAAATATTTCGAATTTTCAGGTCTTCAAAAGACGGACGGCGATGCGAACACAAAAAATCGAAAAACATCAGCGGCACGACAACTGGCAAGTTGTTGCAACCTGCGTCTGAGTGTGCGATGGACACGACCAAGAAGAAGACACAAAAATGGCAAACATGCAAAAAGCAAGTCTCCATCAGAGGCACAACACAGCCATAGAAGTTGGTCGGCCAGAGAGGCAGCGCGTAGGCAGGCGGCGCTCGCAGCAGCATTGTGACGCGCGCGACGCGTTTGTTGAGCGCCAACGTTCGACGAGCAGCGACAAGCTGCGCGCTAGCGAGTTGAATCAATGTGGCGAATGGCCAAAGCGACGAGAGTCGGCGAGCGAGCATGTACGACGGTGAGCGCGGATGCGACGCGTTGTACGCATTGGCTGCTGCGGCGCGGCAGACGATGGCGGTTGCAAAGGCTGTTGGCGCCGGCAACGTTTGGACGGTAGGTCGGCAGGTTACTGCGGTTGCTGGCTTCATGGATTACAGAATTTTTCGCTAGCTGGGGTAGTGCGTCACGCGCGGTGACAGATAGCTTGTTGCACTTGGCTGTGGCCACTTTTGTTGGCGCTTATTCACGACGCTCCCACCGCAGCTATCGCCACTTTTGTGAACGTCTTCGTCGAGTCATTTTTTTCTGGGGATCTGCCCGCTCGCCAAGTGGAGAGGCGCGCTTCAAAGTGTCGTTGACGCTGTTGCGCTGTCGCCGTGACTCTTGGCGCCGCTACCATCACTACTGCCGTGTTGGATTTGCTGCTGCGTTTTTTTTCTACTTGTATTGATGATGAATCTTTGCAGCGGCAACAACTAGTCACGCAGCCAACCAAGCGACCAACCAACTCAGCGACCAAGAAAGGTGGCCAACAACAACACCAGCAAAAAAGTGTCAATGTATGTGTACTTTGAGCACTTCCAAGCTGCTGTTTTGCTTGTCGTTAGATCTGTTTTTGTTGTTGTTGCTAAGGTCAACAATAGTGACCCCTCAACAGAGTTGCCCGGCAGAGAAAAACTACCATCGATGAGAAGTGAAAATGGCGACGACACAGAAAAATACAGAAATAAAATTTTTAAATAAACAATATTGAAAATAATATTTGAATCATTTGGCACTAAAAACCAGAAATAGTTTGGCTTAAATTCGTCGAGAAAAATTAACAAAAAAATGAAAAAAAAAATATTGTGAAAATCTTTTAGTTTGTGATAGGCTTGTCTGATCTGTTCTTTTAGTGTAAATAAAACGACGAAAAAAAAAATATATCTATACATACATACATACATATGTATGTAGATAAAGTTTTTTGTGAGTACTTATTTTTTAATTTTTTATTTTTTTTAAATCATGAGCAAAACAGTTAAAAAAAAAATCGAATTTTTAAGCAACATTTTTTCCCCAGTGCTTTAAAAACTTCTTTAGAAAATTTCGGTTAACGAGTGAAGTCGGAAAACCAAATTCAAAAAAAATACGGACAAATTTTTACCGCTAAGCAAACATTTCACTATTTTCAATAATTTTTAGGATTTTTCTAGTATATATACATACATATAATCATAATAATAATAATAATAATAAACTATATGTACATGTATACAAAAAGTTAATAATTATAGATAATAGTTATTTAAAATTTAAAAAAGTGGATTTGAAAGAAAGAAAATTAAAAACTAAAAAATTGAGCGATTTTCGATAAACGAAAAAATTTAAATAAAACAGTGTAAGTTTACAAAATACTTCTTAAGGAATTTCGATAAAAAAAATTAAAAACAAATTTCAAAATTAAAAAAGTGCGTTTTTGTAAATTAAAATATTGATTTCTTTGACGACCAAAACCGGAAATAGTGAAATGTGTGATTCAGAAATAGAAAAAAAAAAT